TATATATATATATAAAATGAACCATGTGATTTGGTTCATATGTTTAAGATTCTACAGCTCTTGTTAATTTGCATGAAGTGCTTCATAAACTTAATTAGTAAAAATTTATGATAAATATTAACAAATAATGATGCTGGCATTTGAAGCTAAGATCTTGTTTCATTTAATTCATGAAAAATTATAAAATAAAAATTTAATCGTTGCAAAATTTAAATTTTAATAATAAAATAAAATTTAATAACAGAAAAAAATTTTAAATAAAAATTTAATTCATGAAAAATCATCTTATAAAAATCCCAGAAATGAGCTGGGCCTGATGGTACATGCTTGTAATCCCAGTGGCTCAGGAAGCTGAGGCAGGGGGATTCAAAGTCAGCCTCAGCAAAAGCAAGGTGCCAAGCAACTCAGTGAGAACCTATTTCTAAAATAGGGCTGGGGGTGTGGCTCAGTGATCAAATACCCTTGAGTTCAATCCTTGGTACCAGAAAAAAAAAAATCTCAGAATCAAAGATTTTAATCTTATTCTCTAAGTGTCTTCTTAAATATTCAAATTATAGAATGCGGAGACTTTTGTTTATTAGCCCGATTTAAGTGTGGGTTCCAGACATATTACTCTTCTTTTGTCTTTTATTTCCTTTTTCTTGCTTCTCAGCACTTTTATATTGTCAGAATAGTGGTGTTTTGGCAATAAAACTTACCTTGCAAACTGAATTGCTTTGAAGGTGTTTGTGAGGTCCCCACCATACTGGAATGTCTGGGATGTTGCTGCAATCATTTCATCTTTGGTTGCAAAAGTATTCAGGTTAAACACAACTCTTGGATTGTTGGCATATTGAATTAACCCCACCTTCAAAAGAGCAGAATTTTATTAATGGACTGTCATCACATAATAAACAGTTTCTATATGACCAGTATAATAAAAGTTTAAAAAATGCATTTAGACATGTATATCCGTGGCTTAAGGGAACCACTTCAAATTTTTTTCTTGGCAGTTATTTTTCTTTGGATGGAATGATATCTGTGTATAACAGTTGTACTGATTGCCAAGCAACAGAATGTGCTGTGGATTATGACTTGGTTATCTAGATTTAACCATTATGGGGAGCCACTCTGAATGACCATGCCCTCCAGTCTTGAATCAGGAGGCTCTAGAGCCAATCACCATATTTCATAGTGACTTGAGCTTTGTGCCAGCTTGGATAGCAAGGCCTGGCTCCAGTGTATGCATCACCTGTGAGGGTTGAGCTGCTCTCACCTATTCCTTTGTAGTCATATCCCTTTGCCCTTTTGGGGATAGAATGTTCCATGGAACCTCCCCTTGTGTGTTCCCTATGTAAGAATAAAGAATTCTGGTGGCTCTCTCTCTTTCCAAGGACCATAAGGTCACAGAGCCGTCTCTGGAATATTGAAAGGGGTATTTCTGTGTGGTTGCATGCTTTCTTTGTCGTTTCTTGAGTTATTGGAATAGTCAGATTTTGTGGACCCAGCATTAGGTCGCCAACTAGGACAGTTGGTGACAAACCATAAAGATTTTTAATGCATGAACCTATGCTATTAATATGGATGAATATCAGAATAATGCTAAAACAGGAAGATTAAAATAGATAGAAACAAACTTTGTAATTATCAGCAGACATAGACTTGCAAACAACTATAAGCAATCATAGACAAGGCAACACTACATCATTTAGGATAATAATGCTATAAAAAAAATCAGAGTTGAATACAAGATAAGTTAGTGTAGCCCTAAGGTATGGAGTCAATTTAGATTTATTTACTGCACTGGATTTCAGTTTTGACACATCTGGCGGAAAGTTGTTGGCTATGCATATGGAATGGAGAATTTTGGGCTGATTTCAAGGGAAAATACCATTAGGGAGAATCTTATTGGAGAGAGATGAAAGAAAGGAGACTTCTGAATGAGATGTTTGGGGACATTGTTTTCAATCTTTGGGTTCAAGGAGATCACACACTTCTATTAATGACCTCATTTTCAGGCATTGGAATCACTATCTAAACTGAAAGATGGGGTTTTATGAACAAGAAATAGAAATCAGAGAAATAGGGATCAGTGGAAAGAGGCTCCCTGAAAGACTCTCTGAGGTCAGTATGTAAGGAAGATAGAAGGAGGGAGGCCTGGATTTCTGAGTTCAATCAGGGATTTTTGCCTGGGAGAGGGGGTGCTGGGTCCCATGAGCATGATGATAAATATATTCTTGGACCTCATTCTTTAGGAAAAGGATGTATGGTTTGAAAGGAAGGGAAGGATAAAAAATAATGGAGGATTTCAAAGTCTGATATGAGAGGTTGATGGTGGCGCAGTAACCCTCTCAACAGCCCCAACATTCTAAGTGAGAATAGGGAAGGGGATTAAAAGACATGTTGTATATTAGATCTTATAGAAAGGCCCAATTTTATTTGTGAGAAACGAGACTGGGTTATACCTCTCCTAGAGAGGAATAAGATTCATTGAGACTTTGAATGCATCTGAGGCAAGATGCATTCATATGAGACTTTGACAGTGTTTCTCTCCAGGAATCTGTTGCTATACTTAGTCTAGGGTTAACACAAATTTCTGGTAAAAGCCCACAATGAAACTTCCAAGGTCTCAGCAGGCATTAATGTCCTCTTGGCGGTATAAAGTAACATCAATATTTTATAATGCTACATAGGGAAGTGGAAAAGCAGATTTCAATAAAAACAGATGCAATGCCTATAGAGGAAAATATTTCAAAATTTTTACTAGATGTTGGATATTGGGGTATCAGATGCAACCCAAGAACATAACTGGTAACTATGTGAACAGCTCTCTGCTGAGGTTGGTTCACTGTGCAGTTAAAACTAGAATGAACGGAAGATCCAAACAAAAATGAGGGGGGAAAAAAAGAAGAAAAAGAAAAAACAGAAATGAAACTTTTTTAAAACTCCTAGGGTTAAGGGATAAGCTTGCCTCAGCTTCCTGAGTAGCTGAAATTATAAGTAGCATTTTTAACATAAATGCTTTGCAGTCTCCTTACAAGATCATGAAACTTCTGCTCCTGAATTTGGGTTGCCTGTCCTGAGAAGATGTAAAAGCAAATTAAAAACTTCTGAAGACATAGAGAGCTATATCAAAATATTGAAAAGACTTGGTTTTATGTTTCAAAAAAAATCCTGGCTAGACTAGAAAACAATAAAAGAATATAAAATAAGAGATGGTAGAATTGCCCTTAGTGACTCATTTCTAAAATTTCCATAATTCAAAGAATATACAGCAAGGAATAAATATAAGAAATCCATTATTAATACAGACATGAAGAAATAAGACATATGCATGTATTCAGAGGTTAAAATAGGCCACTGAAAGAGAATAAAATGTTACTTCCCAAAGTCTTGATACCTGTGTCACAAAACTCCAAGGTCAACAGCATTGGACAGAGTGATAGGGAGAAGAATAACTTAGAGTAGTTCAAATTTCAATTAACTTTCAAGATTAACATTTAATGCATTTAATATGGGGATTTGGCAAATGCAAAAATTAAGACTTCATATTTATCATTCTTCTCTCACAAAGAAAGCTATGGGTTAGTTTACTGATATGCATACCTGTGTCTTCTTAGGGCCTATATCTAGGCCTTGCACAAATTTTTCCAAAAAATTCTTTACTGCATCCCATGGATAAATACTGTTTGATTCATCACACACAACCACAACATCTATTAAGGAAGGGCAGGCTAGAAAAGATAGAAGAAGATTTCCATAGATAAGTCAAGTTTCACACCCATGTAGAAGTTAGACTTATGGAGGGATTGGGTAGGACTTGATAACCTCCCCCCTCCCCTAAATGAAAAGCCTTGTTCAGATCCTTCACACATTTATAACTTACTCTGAACTGCAGGTGAGAAGCTGGCTGAGAGCTGAAAATCAGGACTGACGTCAGAACACACACCAGTTGTATAATATTGATTTCCACACTGCTGTGCCCACAGGGGACCACATGTCTTCAAAGAAATGAGAAAATGGTAAATGGAAACACATGGAAAATGCTAACCTTCTACTGCCCCATTTTGGAGCTAAGAAATTGTTTCTATTCTTTTCCCAGATTCTGAAAAGGATTTTCAGTTCTTTAACAGGTGAAAAACTGGAGAGGGCAGAAGTGATGGAGAAGAAAGTGGCAGACCTTCTGTGTCCAGTGGCAGCTCAGTAAGAAGAAGAATTATTGGTACTGTCAGGGGCAGGTGTCAGTGAAGGGGAGCCCAAGAGGTCACCCAACTCTGCTAGAGAACACCTAGAATCAGTAGTGCAAAGTTGATTTTTTATGTCTCAGTTACTTGGGCCTCATCTATAAAATTAGCATAACCTTATCTTCTGTCTAGGTTGTTTGAAGAGTATGGTCTGCAGATTTAAAACATTTTACAGTGCAGGAAAATAGCAAGCACTCTGTACCTGTTGGCTAGCATCTTTAGTGTAAATGATGGATCATCAATTTACTCCTATCCCTTCCAATCAAAGTACAGAAACCATAAGCCCAAGTGCCTCTGAGAGCCAGGTGGAAACACTGGAGGAGTGGCTGGGCCAGGTAGAGACAACTGAAACCATGAAGAACCTATTTCTTATATCCAGAGACAGGCTTGCTACTATGTCCTCCCATCATTGCTGTGAAAGAGAGTTTTCTGTTTTCCTAAGAGTCATAGAGGGAAATTTTTGCATGAAAATTCACAATTAAAAAAAAAAAAACTCTGTTAACCAAACACAAATGAGGTTTAAGGACTGAAAGGTGATTTTTTTTTCCTTTGCTCTTAAGTATTTATTTACTTTTAGATCTTCTCAAATTCCTATTTCCATTGTCTAATTTATTTTGTCACCAAAGCTGACTGACACTGTCTCCTTGCCCTTATCATCCACATTTCAGTTCCTAAAATCTCCATCAACAGAATCCCCATTCTCTCCTTTGCATCAGACCTTTAATAAATGCCAGGAACTTCTGATTCAATCATGATTAGAGCATATGGGAAACATTATATTAAATAATATTAAAATCAGCAGATGAAAAAGGAGAAAAGAAGAAATGAGAAGTGTAGCCAAGATCCTAAAAATTTTTACAAAATTTAGCATTATGTAAAGCTGTGGGTGATATGTAAAGTTTATGCAAAGTGTTGACATTATGGGAGGATCATTTATTAAAACTGAACAGAAAAGTGTGGACTTGAAGAAGCAATTGGAAAAACAAAAGGAAATTTATTTGACCCAGTTTAACTGTTCGTAGCATAATAGAAGCAGCTGTGGTCATATTTCATACTCAATGAATAAGGCATAGTTTTCCTTCTATAAAACTGATTCATTTTGCCAACGTGTTAGAAAAAAAGTCATTATCAATGTTTCTGACTAATTTATGAAATAACAGATACCAATTATTGATTCTTATCTGCATTCTAAAGCATTTTTTTAAAATCACTTTGCAAAATAGCTTATGATGTACTCAGGAACGGATTTTTTTTTTCTTTCATGAGCACTGGAAAACAGTATAAGAAGCTGAAATTAAAATATGCCAATTGTTAATGCCAGAACATTCTTGCTTTAAGCCCAGAATTTAAGAAGTTTTTAAAAAAAAAGTGACTATCGTCAGTTTTTTTCCATGTAATTCTGAAGAGTTTCTTATAATTTTGACCTATCAGGTATTTAAGAAAAACTTTGATCAATCTTGTCTCTTTCTTTCTTTGTCTCTCCCTTCTCTCTCCTCCTCTCTCTCTGCATCTCTGCATTGCTGGTTTTTACATTGACTGTTCGATTACTCTCTTAGATTATCTTTCACTTTTACTTTATCTGGAATCAGAGATGAGATTTTTTTAAAAAAAAATTTGAAGCACATTCTATAATCCCTGATTCTCAATATGTTCCTCTTTCTGACTAACTCAACCTGAAAAACAAAGAAACAAAAATATGAAAATAGCCATATGATAAAGATTTTAGAATATCATAAACCATGGAGATGCACTGCAATATTATTTATGTACAATTGTAATACATTATTATAAGCAACATTTAATTTATTTAGTGGTAGCAAAGATGGTAGAGAACTAATATCTATCATTACAAATAGAATGACATTGTTCAAAATTGGTTACATTTTTAGAATAATACAAGTATAAAGCAGGCTTTTAAGTTAGGAAGTTATGGCATTAAAAATATTAATGTAAATTTAAATTAGGCTTTCAAAAACAACTTTAACTGGGCTAAGCAAGTAGGTTATCCTTATATGAGAAAGCAGAAATTTCAAATAAGATTGACTTTTTATTTTCCTTTCTACTTTTTTTTGTATGTGTTATTTTAAATTTTTATATAGTTAAAATTCTCAACAATTTTCTGTTATTTCTTTGTTAGTTCTAAGCTTAGAAATTCTCTCCTTCAAAAAATTTCCATTAAAGAAAATTTCCATTTTCTTCGAGTTTTTCTTTAATATTAACTCTTTAAAGTCACTTGATAGGTTTTTTTCCTTTGGTATATTAAAGTTATTAACTAGTTAGTTGTCATCAGACCACTTGTTTAAAAAGACATTTTTTAAAAAAATTGGTAGTTGTAGATGAACAAGATGCCTTCTTTTTGTTTGTTTGTTTGTTTATTGTAAAATATTTTATTAGGAGGTGATGGACCTTTATTTATTTATATGAAGTGTTGAGCATTGAACTCAGTCACACATGCTAGCCAAGCACTCTACCACTGAGCCACAACCCCAGATCCCTTATTTATTTATTTTTATGATGTGCTGAGGATCAAATCCAGTGCCTCATGCATGCTAGGCAAGCACTCTGTCACTGAGCTTCAGCCCCAGCCCTAAAATGACATTTTATTTTACTGATAAGTGATATTTTTCATAGCATTTTAGAAACCAAATAAGACATAAAATATGATAAAAAGTGTACCATTCTTTAAATATTATCAGATGAGTCAACCAATAGTAAACGATTGAAAACAAAAATATTCATTAGCTTTGAAACCTACTCTCTGAATTAATAGCACTCAACTTGAAGGTTCTTTTAGAAAGCAGAAATGAGACGTGGGATTTTGATGTTATCTTTGAGTACTAAGCATATATACCAAGGGTAAGGAATCAAGGGGGGGAAAACCCTTTTTTAAAAAAAAAAAACATCCTGTGATAATGGTTTTGTTGACTATCTAAGAGGTTCACACATCAACAGACAGTTTTTTGCACTGGATATTCAAATAGCATAACTGATCCAAAAGCAAGCTCTGCTGTTTAAATCTGAAGACTTGACTTGATGGTGGGGGATGGTGAGAAGACACTGACTACAAACTTTTTAAAGAGGAAAGAGGATCTGAGAAGTAAATACTTACAAGAAACCCTCCAGTTCCCATGTTCCGTTTGAGGGTCAAGCCGAGGTTCATGTTGGTTTTTATCTCAGTAACATTTGGAATTCTTGTTGAAGCTTTTAGAGGGAAAGAGATTTTTTAAAAAGTGATTAAATCTTTACATTTACTTAAGATTATTTTTAAAAAGGCACACCCATGTTCACATGTAGTATTGGATTTAGTATTATATGTCCAGAGTTTGTGTTATGTAATGAAGTGTAGGAAATGAGAATCCTTTGGAGCTCTGTCAGCTCATTTTAGTATGTGAGACTGAAGGCTATCAGGGAGGGCCTTTTAAATCCAAGTGTTTTACAAACAATCTTCTGACTAAACAAAATACATGCAAGGACATCATTTGTTCATGTGCCAACTCTACCTTTCCAAAGTCAAGTGGGCTCTATCTGATGCTTTTATTTATTTATTTGTTATTTCTGGATTGTTAAAATATCCTTAAAGTGTTATCAGAGAATGCCATTTGATAGAATTTGGCTCAAAGGAGTGGGTGAATTTTTAAAGAAAACCGTGAGACAGGTAAAATAATAAATGAATCTCTCTAACCTCTTCTCTCTGTCTGAACTAAGGTGTCTCCTGTTGGATCCAGTTTTGAAATACTGAACTTTGCAATGGTCTATAATAATGTCCATTGCTTATGTTCTCCAATCTTGGCTAAGCCATTTTTACCACTTTCATTTAATCTTAGTTGGATTCTGTAGCCCCTGTCCAGCGCAAGCTACTGAACCAAAGTCACTCGAGTGAATTTGGGGTGACACGAAAAGACCACACAGACATGGAATAACTTTTCTGAGATTCAGGACGGTTTCTCAGGCTCCCACAAAGTGGGGCAAGAGAAAGATAAGAGAGGCTGATGAGAGAGAGAGGGGGCACGTGCTGAAGCTCACCTTTTATTGGGGGCGCTATTCCATGGAACATTCTATCCGAAAAAGGTCAAGGAGTAGGATTACAAAGGAATAGGTGGGTGTAACTCAACCCCACCTGGTGACCCCAACTCCTGGAGCCACACCTCATTATGGGAGCAGAGGTGAAGTCCAATGTATTGCGGGGTGCAATAACTGTTCAGTACCCCTTTACTCAGGACTTAAAGGTGTGCACATAGCTCCTATCCAGAGCTCCATTTTTCTTCATCCTTACATAGAATCATCCTAGAACTCCTACTTTTTCCCTCCTGCTCAGAGAAGAAAACATTCTAAGACTCATTTCCCCAAGTACCATTTATCCCACTCAATTAACTATATTTCTAAATAATAATCATTTCCCTTTTGCTACCTCCTGACACTCTCCTATAAATAAGAGCATCTCTTTTTTTACTACAAGGATCTTTCAATCTTACTATCCTGTAGAACTGCTTTTCCCAGTGATCCTTCTGTGTTCACCTCTTGAAAAGCAGGTTAACTTACACCTGGTCCTGGTCTACTACTCATCCACTCCTTAATTCTTTATCTGTTTTCTCCCCTGAATGCTACTGGATTTATAGTCCTGGTGAAGGAGGCACACAAAATATAATTAATTTGCTGTAGTACAGAAAGAAAATAGTGGAATTTTTTGAATATATATTTTTATGCTTTAAATGTATTTTTTTAGGTAAATGCATTATTAAGATAATATGTAGTACATGTGTGTAGCTTGAAAGCATATTAAACATACACATCAGGGCTAAGTGTTCCAAAATTAAGGGTAAAGGGTGATATGACATATTAAAGGTGATATACTTAAACTATTTAACTATGTAATAAAATATTTTAAAACTCACTAATAATGTATATATTTTGATTATTAAAAAATACAAGTATGGCAAGTGTTCAAAATGCTTGGAGATCCCTGATCTTCACCAGTCACAACCTCCTTAAGTAAGCAGAAGGTGTTTTCTGAGTCCTCAGTCCTTTTTTACTTCTGGAGTGTTGACACCACTGATACCCCTCCCACTCCACTGGAGATATGTTCATTGAATTCCCTACTATGTTCTATAAATTACACTAGAAATGAGATGAACACAGATGTGTAAGAAACCCACCGACCCTTGCTTTTCAATCTTACTTGCTATTTTTGAAACTTCTTTCCCTTGGTTTTCATAACACTTTATTTTCTCATTTCATCCCTTAATCCTCCAGGACAACTCTAGGTTCCTCTGTGCTGTTTTTGTTTGTTTTGATGCTGCTGCTAACAGGATCATGATCAAATTGAATGGCTTTTACTTGCTTCAGAAACTATTGTCTGGAAATATCAGTCATTTACATTTATTTTTTATTTATTTTCGTGGTACTGGGGATTGAACCCAGGGCCTTAAGCACGAACTGAGCTATATCCCCAGCCCACTCACTTACTTTTGTAGCCTTGCATTTTTAGTGTTTTTTTTTTATATTATGCTATATGGAGAGTTAAAACAACAAATAATTCCATATTATGAGTTTTCTATTAGAATGCAATCACTTAAACATAAATAACAACAAGGTTTTTCTTAGAAGTTCCCATCAACCCTAGAACTGATGTTTCCATACTGAATGGCTTGTTTTGGAAAAGAGGAGGGAAAGAGATATGAAGAGTCTCAGATTTCCGAAAGTAATCAGCAATATAATCCTAAATATTGAAGGAAACTTGCCTATGGTCTGGGATAAATGATCCAGGAGGTGCTTGTACATTTTGGATGCATACTGTTAAATCAGGTCTTCAAACTGTTTTGGAAATTTGGATTCAGTTGGGCCTTAACATGACTTAAGAGATAATGGTCTAACGCTGCCCACTTCTCTTTAAGGCAGAACAATGATTGTTTTTGCTGTCATTTTTCAGTTGAGTCTATGATGAATATTTTTCTGTTTATGAAGAATAACTTTGCGAATTACAACTTACTTTGCAAATTCAGTTTTTCGCAGGTAGCGGTGGACAGGTCAACAGGGCATTTGTACACATCTCCCATTCGGTTCTTAGGAAAACCACTCCAGGGTGAACCAACCAGTAACCTAGAAACAGGGTTTTGTTTTTCAGTAATCATAACACATTTATTCTCTTACAGATAAAACTGACCACAAATCAGTAAAAACAAAACAAAAATAAAACCACTTAATTTTAATTTTTATAAAATTCACGTTCACTATAATTTGAGATGCTTTCTTCCTTCTTAGCCACTCAAGATCCTTAATGAATGTGTGTAATATGGTTGCTTTAAGACTCATCTGGGAGGTCTCTCCACAGGGGAGACATACAATGCAAGCCACAAAATGTGAGCACATAGGTCATTTCAAATTTTTTGATAGTAGTATGATAATAGGATTTTTAAAAATCAAGTGAAATTAATGCTCTATTTTACTTAACCCAATATGTACATGTCACTATAAAAAATTATGAATGCGTTATTTTTTGTTCTTTTTTTTCCCCCTTGCTAAGTCTTTGATGTTCAGTGTGCATTCTCTATTTGGAGCACATCTCAATATGGACAAGTATTATTTAAATACCAAAGAGCCACATGTGATAGAAGCAGCCATATCAGATAGCAGAGCTCTCAAGAATGAAATCATGTTAAAATCTAAGAGCAACTAACATTGGTTGAGTTTTTATACACCCTAAGCTCTGTTGTATGTTAGCTGATTTGGGGAGCTAATGAATTATCTAGGTGACTTAATGTTTATTTATAATGGGATATTTAGCAAAAACACAGAACAAATGTATCATGGGGGTCTACTCTAACAAAGTGTGTATATCTAGAATGCAGGATGAAGCTGGTGCTCACATCCTTCCTTTGGTTAGTTTCACTTCCTGCAGAGCTTCTCCAACTAGAGAGTATGTGTTTCCCTCCAGAAACCCTCACCTGATGTTTCTGACAACAGATAATTGAACAGAAAGAGCCCATGTAATATTTTGATATTTAGAAAACTATAACAGGTTAATTGTTCATTTAGTTACTAAGAAAGCATAATTTGCTTCTATGTTTTTGTTTTTGTCAAAGCTGGGAAGAATTAGGTTATCTATTTAATTTAAATTCTTTCATGAGCCTTCTGAATAATTTGTCAGTAACATTTAAACATGGTCCCATCCTAAGTGCTATAGAAGTTGTTTTTTTTTTTTCAAAAAGCTGGTAAACCTGCTCAAAATACATGACAAGTAAAATATCATATGGATGAACTGAAAGATAAGACTTAGATCCCTTGTGGAATACATTTTTAAATGGTCAAAGGATGCAAAAAAAAAAAAAAAGAAAAAGAACATTCAAGGGTGAGAGCTTCAGTTTGGTCATAAGCTTCTTGCCTTGCTCATCTCATAAAATTACAGAACATTCTTGGATACTTCAATTCAGTTAAATTTGATTAGGTTAGAACTGAAACATTTTTGTCTTCTGAGGAAACAATTTTGCATAATTTATCTATTAAAATATCACCCATGGTCAAGATTACAACAGTCCCAGGCATATAGTTTTAAGATTTTTGAGAAAGATAGAAATCTTCATGCTGGATGTTATCAAATTTCCACATTTACTTTGGTGAAGGAAGGGACTCGGTGGCAGGGCTTGGAATGCATGTGTGAGCTTATCTGGTGTTCTTCAAAGTCATGACCATTTGGAGGAAACCAGGAATCTCATAAAGTCTCTGCGCTGTGAAAACTCTTTTCCAGCAGAGCAGTGTACTTCCTCAGGGTCTGTTGATGGTGGAGCTGCACAGCGTTCCTCCGACTGTGTGCTGGGCATATGCTGAAGTGTAAGGAGGAGAGAGAATGGCCTCCTGCTTTCTTCTCCAACCCTGTATCTTCCCTGCACCTCCTGAAGCTCTGATGTTTTAGGCATAGTGAATTCAGGTCCTCCACATCAGGTTCTCTCTTGTTTTCAACATGCTGTCACACATGCTGTCTCCTGCTTGGTAAGTTCTACCCATTAGTTAAGTCTCTTATTAGACACTACTTCCTCCAGGAAGTCCCTCTGGCCCCTCCGATTCTGAGGATTAAATCCCTCGTCAGAAATGAAAGGTACAGAGGGTTGGGCATTCTGTGACTATAGGACTGAATAACTACCGTTGGATCCAATGAATGAAAAAATATACCAATAAATAAATAATTTTCCACTATTAGGAACTTTGTGTTGGTTGAGGTAAAATAGAAAATTCTTAATTCTGTTGTAATTTACATCTTCTCTCTCTCTCTCTCTCTCTCTCTCTCTCTCTGTCTCTTCTATGTGCCAGGTCCACCCTGTGAAAGCTCATCACATGGTGGGGCCCATCCTACAATTTGTCATGACAGTTAAGGACAGGATATATTCCAGAAATAGCAAGTGTGATAATTCAGGTGATGACATTTTTCCCCCCAAGTGAAGTCAAAACATTTTTAAAAAGAGGTGAAAAAAATCAACCCAGTCAAGTGGAAGGTACACAGCATTACTGTTCTGATAGCTGTTCCTGATTCGGCCTCCACATATCTACTATGCAGCAAAGTTGAGTTTTTTGTTTTTGTTTTTGACAAAAGCTGACTATGATGTATGTGTAGGGAAGAAAATAGCAACTTATAGAAAGAAGTGTGACTCTGCCCCTTGGGATGCTGGGACTTCCTATTAATTACAGCAAATTTTACAACATTTTGTAGTGGGTGCAAGGCTTTCCAAACATTATTTGATTTAGTCTGCAAAGTAAGTCTGAAATTATATCTCCATTTTATGGGTGCAACCACTGAAACAGGAAGAGACAAGCAACTTATTCATGATCAAATGGCTAGTGGGAGCCAAGTATGCCCAGTTCTGAAGCCCAAATTTGTAATGTTTTAGGCTCTTCTTTCTCTTGGCTGCATGGAGGCCTGACAGAGGGCCCAGAGAGGGAAACCAATCTAAACAGAGGAGCTGGATTCTAGAACTTATCATGGAGTAAAAACCAGGAAGGACAGTCAGGCCACACTTATTGAGCCTGAATGTGTGGCTGTGTGAAATAGAAGGGGGTTGTAGACCAGATGCCTGCTAGGGCCACCCTGTGAGGGCTCATCAGCATAGTGGGGCCCAGGCTACAGTTTTCAATGGCAGATAAAGACAGGATACATTCTGAAAATAACAAATGTGATAATTCAGGTGACTACCTTTCCACCGTCCTCACCACAGCCAAAGAGACACACACTGAGAAACAAAAGTCAAGTGTTTCTGATGGGAGACTTAAGCATTTTGTTCCTAAGGACCTCAGCAGTAAGACTGCTCCACTGGTGACTTATACTGCATTGGCTGTTTCCTGTGCACCAAGCATTTCCTGGGTACTGCCCTTCTCACCTCTCCCCACCTCACCCAGAAACTCAGGATCTGGTAACCTTGAACTTCCAGAGGCTATGACATCGCCACTCCACTATGAGAATCATGGCCCTTTTAAGTTAATCAGACAGGACTATGAGAAAGGCAAGAATTTGTACAATGTGTACCATTTAGCAAGGAGGATGGGAAAGCTCTTGAAATTCTCTGAAAGAATTCAAATAAGTAGGAATAAATTTCTGATAGTATCATGGTACCATAAACTCTTAACACAGGACCACAGGAAACAGTGGAAAACCAGGCTATTCCAGTGACTATTAAAGATCAAGGGTGTCCCTTAAATATTATGTAGCCCATTAAAAGTAGCCTCCATAAATTTATTCTCTTTTAATGCTGAGTAACATTCCATTGTGTATATATACCACAATTTCTTTATCCATTCATCTATTGAAGGGCATCTAAATTATGGCATTAGCAGGTAAATGGATGGAGTGGAGAATATCATGCTAAGTGAAGTAAGCCAATCCCCAAAAAACAAAGGCCGAATATTCTTTCTGATAAGTGGATACTGATACACAATGGGGTGGAGGGTGCATGGAAAATATGGAGGAACTTTGGGCAAAGGGGAGGGAGGGTTGGGGATGGTGCATGGGGGCAGGAAAGACGGTGGAATGAAATGCACATCATTACCCTAGATACGTGTATGATTGCACATGTGGTGTGATGCTACATGGTGTACAACCAGAGAAATGAAAAGTTGTGCTGCAATTGCGCACAATGAATCAAAATGCATTCAGCTTTCATATATACCTAATTAAAATTAATTAATTAATTAAAAAGATAAATAAATAAAAGCAGCCTCCATGTCATGGTAGTGACTCTGGAGGTTTCTAAAGCCACCGGACACACCCTTCACTGAAAGGTCCCCGCAGAGTCTCCTCTTCCCACCGTGAGGCCTTGGTGAAGTCTGGTGTCTCACAACTCATTCTAAGGAGGAGACTATGACACTGCCTGAGGCCACTGCCAGGGAATTGCAGCGTTCCTGAAGGAACAGGCAGGAAGTGGGGGAGTCTGGTATAAGTATCTGTAAATGTTTACGCAATCAGCTGTAGCAGGAATAGATGCATCAGGACAGAATGTTAGAACGGCAGCAAGGAGTAGGATGTGTTTGGTGGGTAAACTCTGTTGAAATAAGGCAAAACTTCTTTGAAGCAATGAGTTTAATCCCAACCACACAAAAGAGCTGAATGAATGGTTCCTGTGTGCTGATTCTTAAAACAAAACCCAATCCCAAGATATGAACTCTTTTCCTACAGTGAAACTGGGAATTCTTCCAAGACTACTTTAAATAACACTAACTGTTCAATTATCTTGTAGGAAAATAGTGATTATATAGACTCCCCAAACATAGCCAATTTGCCCACCTCCAGTGGAATTCAAAATACTTTGTTTGGTTGGTAAGTGGTATTTATGGTGGTGTAGGTAGGGTAGTTTTAAACCTACAATCCAAGAGCTGTTATAAATATCTTTCTTTGGTCTATGGGTCCCTAAACTCGCCAAGTGTTCCTTCAACCCTAGACATTTTTTTAGAGATTACTTACAGAGGTGTACTTAAAATAGTATGGCAAAACATTTTGTTTTATTCAAGTCAAACAATTTTTATTGATTTCCTATGGGGTTGATATGTCATGTAACTCCAGGGGCACTATTCTTATGTAAACTGAGTAACTTCACCTTGTGCAGTATACAGCCTGTGAG